TTGGTGGTGAAAAGCTTATTTAAGCGAACTTACTATTTTTTTCTGCCAGGGATGGCCTTGGAGTTCTCGTAAAGAGCAATTTGAGCCGACTAAAGAGGTATATTTATACAAGATGGCCCTTATTATTATAAATTTCTTTTAAGATTTCTTCATTTAAAAATAAAAAGAATTTTAATAGTGGGTTGCTTTTCGATTTCCTTTTTCCCCCATTAAGTTTTTATGCCATAAATAGGTCGATAAGAAATTAGAGAGATATGGAGGCTCTCTGTCGGCGTTGATCATCATTCTCGGTGTCCATCGGGAAGCAAAGAGGTGTGACAAGATGTTTTTCTTGCCAGGTGAGTTTACAGCATCTTTTCAATTAAAACATTTGTACGGAATTTTTTTATCAATATAATAATTATAATCTTTAAGGGTGCGCATGACAACGATTTTATACCCGAAAACTAATCCTACTCAGAAATAATTCTTTTTTATTCCGTGCCCGAAAATAATTTCTAAATATTTAAAGGCATTTGGTAACTGTCCAAAATTTATATTCTTAAAATAGAAAAAGAATAGAAATACGTTTGGTAACTACACAATATTTATTTTTATTAATAATATTTTTGAAATTTTTAATATTTCTTTCTTCTTCTTTTTTTTTCTTTCCCTTCCCTTTCCCTTCTTGGGCCATGGCCGGCGAGGGAGTCACGGCCCTCGCCGCCGCCCTCGCCGACGCAACCCATCTCCCTCGCCTGGGTCGAAACGGTGAGGTCGACCTCGCCATGGCTGTGAGGGGGACCCTCGCCGGCCCTAGCCTATGGGCGATCGTCGGTGACCAGTGGCAGGCCAGGAAGAAGAAGAAGAACAAACCAAGAAGGAAGAAAAAAATCGAGAAGAATTAGAAATGGAAAAATTGTTTCCAGAATCAAGAAACTATTTTTTTTTTTTGCTTATTGATTTTGTTCCAAAACTAATTATGGGAATAATTTTTTGCAAATTTGTGCTCGGGAACAAAAAATTTAACAAACGAATTTCTGTTCTCAAATTGATTCTGGGAACAAAAGAACAGAAATTTTCACTGTTTGACAACTTGCCAAACGGTCCTAAAAGTTAAAACATAGGTCGTTTGATTTGTTTAGGATAAGACAATCTTGAGGTAAAAAGAAGCACGTGGTCATGATTTATATTAAATAAGAACATACATTTTTTTTTCCTTAATAAAAAGCATCAACTTTTACTCGAATTCTAAATTTGACTCCAATAATGTAAAATTTTCAAATTGTTCATATCAAATTTGTAATGTAAGTAAAATTTTGTGATTTTTTATGAAACAAAAAAAATATCTGGACCAAATTTGTCACTAAAGATAAAATTGGTGCTTTTTTATGGGGAATTGAGCCAAATTTTTTTGCTAAAAAGGCTACATAGGGGTTTTTTTTTGTTTGTTCTACTCTAACTCTCAATTCACTCTCAAACTTTTGCCTTACCTCTTACAGGGCGTGAAAATCGAAACTCACATTTGAAATTATACGTCTCCATTCCTTGCTCCCCTGATAAGGTGGATATTTGAACTTCCCATCTCTCTCTTCCCAAATAAAAAGGATGGCCACTGAAGCAAGCCTCAGTGGTTGACATGCCACTCCTAAGGAGTGTCATCTTGTCATTTGGATGCTATTTCATAAGAGTTCCAAACGTAATTTAGAAGCCACGGCCTTTGCCTATGCAACTTCTCGGTCGTCGCCTTCAAACTTCAAAACAACATCAAATCGGCTCCATCACCAACTACAAGATAATTGTAAAACAGCACCATAATGGACGAAATGTTTTCGCTTTGCTCCCTATATAGCACCACAATCTTAGATGATGAACTCTTGCAAAACATCCATGACAATTGGATAATTTTGTGCATATTTTAATTTGATTCCTGAACTTTTAATTTGTTCAATATAGTCCCTGAATTTGAGCCTAATATTCAATTTAATTTCCGAACTTTTAATTTATTCGTTGTGGTCCATGAACTTTTAGTATATATTCAATTTAGTCCCTAAATTATTTGAAAATGTTCAATGTAATCCTTCCATTAATTCAACTTCAGATACTATAAATTAGAAATTTATTAATTAAATTACATATTAAACTAAAATTCATGAACTATTTATGTTGTCGGTTCAAAAATACATTTAGAATGCAGATGTCTTGACGAGTATATTGAAGTTTTTGTTAACTTTTTCCCGTTAAGAAAAAGACGGAAAGGTTTTCTGCAAACGGCTCTGCATGTCCACGTTCCCATCGTACAATCATTAACTAGGATCTGCTTTGATGATTTCCCCCCTTTTTTTTGCTTTTAATTTCAAGAGTTTTCTTTTTTACGGGAAGTTGGAGATCGAGGGAGCCTGACATTACCTTCTTTGTAACTTCTATCGTTGACCAACTCAATGCCATTCTTAATGCAAAAGTTATTTGATAGGTTTGTGTAGGGGCTGAGCGTAGTCCAATTGCAAACTCTGCTAATTGTACGGCTCCCCAAAGGCGCAAAGTGCCTCAAAAGTCGATCTTCACAGGAGCAAAGGGAAAAGCGGGCGTCGGTTGACTTGACAAGTATTCTTTTATTCTCAATTTAAATATTCTTCGTTTTTAAGATTATAAGTTTAATATTTTATCCTTACCCCTTTTTCTTTGGTGTTTTACTACGGAGCAGCAAAAAGTTCTATGTCTGCATGCAGAGATATAAACGGTGCACCGATATATTACGAAAGAAACTCAAGATTAAATCAATCAAAAAGTCATTTAAATCGTATTAATGGATAGTTATTACAGTTCTAATGAGTAATGACCATAAAAGTGGACTACTTTGATCTCTCTTTTTCTTATTATTTTTATTTAGCAATCGAAATTGATTTTCCAAAGTTATTTCTTTATGGTGAAGTGGGCTCATTGTGACCGATAAATGTTTTCCAAATTATTTTATTCAGTATTAATGTTTTCTTTTTCTTTGGGTCTTCAAGTGTGCCTGTCCTTTGATGTTTTTGTAATTGGTACATGCTTTTTTAAACCTCCCATAAGAACTATATTCTGACTTTTATCCGGAGAATATCCAACAATAGCTTCCATTGAATGAATAATAGATCCAGATCCTAAAAACAACAATGCTTTCGAATAAGCATGAGTAATCAAATGAAATAAAGCAGCTCGATAAGACCCCATACGTGAAAAACCATTCATTCAGCCACCAACTATAAAATGCATATTCCATGATGTGAGAACTTAGAAGCAATTATAGTCCGGAGTAAAATTCAGATGCTCTTGGAAAAATAAAATATACAATCAACAATGGAGCGTGGTAGCATGTTCGAATCTACAACCCGGAAAAGTGAATTCACATTGTCTATATTGTATTATTAAGTCCTTTAAAATAATAGTTCCTAAAAAATTATCAAAAAATTATTTAATGGATATAAGCTTTTCTAAAATAAAAAAAAAGATCCGCGAGAAGCTTGACTATGAATTATAGGGTGCGCCACATTGGGAATCTACTTCTTTAACTATCTAATTAACTTCATACCACAAAAAAAAAACTATCTAATCAACTAACATAAATTTCTTTTGATGTCAGTTATAGAGTAATTTTTTTTATAAATCACTTATATATCAAGCGGTTCTTTCTCTCTCATCATTCTTTCTTTTGTTTTTTTTTTTTTTGGTTCACATGTTGTAGGCACATAATATATAAGATTGAAATTCGGTTGATCTATGTTAACTGTTTTGTTTTGTGGTGAAAAGCTGATTTAAGCGAACTTATTAATTTTTTCTGCCAAGGATTGCCTTGGAGTTCTAGTTAAGAGCAATTTGAGCCGACTAAAGATATATATGCAGGATGGGAGAGACTTACTATAAATTTTCTTTTGAGATTTCTTCATTTGAAAATAAAAATAATTTTAATAGTTTTTAAGGAGAGATGGAGGCGCTCTGTCAGAATTGATCATCATTCTTGGTGTCCATCGGGAAGGAAAGAGGTTTGACAAGATGGTTTTTCTTGCCAGGTGAGTTTGCAGCATTTTTTCAATTAAAACATTTGTACTGAATTTTTTCTATTAATATAATGATTATGGTCCTTAAAAGTTAAAACATAGGTCATTTTATTTGTTTAGAATAAGATAATCATGAGGTAAAAAGAAGCACCTGGTCATGATTTTTATCAAATAAGAACACCACTTGCTTTTTTTTTTCAATAAAAAACACCAACTTTTACACAAATTCCAAATTTAACTCTTATAGTGTTAAATTTTCAAATTATTCGTGAGGTAAGTAAAACTTGATAATTTTTTATGAAACAAAAAAATATTTGAATTGAAATTATCACTCAAGAAAAAGTTAATACTTTTTTATGGAATTGAGCCAAATTTTCTGCCAAAAAGGCCTTACGGGGGTTGACATGCCACTCCTAAGGAGTGTCATCTCGTTGCTTTGGTGCTGTTCTATAATAGTTCCAACGTAATTTAGAAGTCAAAGCCTTTGCCTATGCAGCTTCCCCGTCGTCGCCTTCAAACTTCAACACATCATCAAATCGGCTTCTCGTATCACGACTCCATCACCAACAATAAGAAAATTGTAAATACAGCACCACGATGTTCGAAATGTTTTCGTTTTGCTCCCTATATAGCACCACAATCTTAGATGATGAACTCTTGCAAAACATCCGAGACAATTGGACAATTTTGTGTAGACAAATTCACCCTCTACATCCAATATAATTCAGCACATTTAGAAATTGAATTCCTATTTTTAGCATTCATACAAAAGCACACATGAAGAGCAAGCCCAATGCACCTGAGAGACTCGGAACAATTTGACAAATGAAGAACTCGACTCGATTTTTGGACGCTCCATTTCTAACTTTTTCTTGCTTCTAACAACCAAGAAACAACCAACACATGAGCGGCTTGCTAGGTAAAAAGATCCGAGACAAAAAGAAAGCCTAATTGTAAAACAACCTGAGTATCGCAATCGCCTCCCTCCTATACCTGCTGCTGCTTCGCTCGACGATAGCGATCCATGAACAACCTTGCCTGGTGATTCACGAGCGCCGCTCTATCGTTGGCGACCTGTAGCTCGGACATGCGCAGTTGCTGCCACCTCTCCTTCAATTCCTCCATCTCCGACCGGTCGATCATCCCCATACCGATCCTCAAAACTTCCTTGCCCAGCCCCATGCTGGTCAGCTCCAACAGTGAAGATTCGCCGGCCCAATCGCCGTCCTCGAACTCCTCCGGCGGCTTCGACGGTGCAGCAGCAGCAATCTTGCTGGCACTTTCCGGAGTCATACTCTTCTTCAAAGACAAGCGCGCTTCCCCACCGCCCCAGAGGACACGGGAAAGCTCAGCGACCTTCTGATCATGGGGCTTCTTCCATATACGCCCGGTCTTGCACCCATTCACGAACTTGACTTTCATTTTCCTAATCTTGTTTAGGAGCTGCGATTCGTTGGGAGAGAAGTCGAACCGTACCGATTTCTTGTCGAGGAAATCTTGGAATATGCCGACGTTGGTCGAGGGCTCTAGCCTCTTCTTTTTGCGAAACTTGATCAAACCTCGGAGGAGCTTGATCTCATCTTTCTCACTCCATTTGCGCTGAAACCTCCCCGACCCCTCCCTGGTGTGCTGCGCCGCGGCCCCTGCCTCCTCGTCGTTAGCGTCGCTGCCCTTCCTCGCCCTCTTCCCTGGCCGCTTCTCCAACTGTTGAGATCCGGCCGCCAGCTTCTTCTTCACCGCCGGCGCGACCTCCTCGCCCGCGGCGACGGCCTTGACGATGCGAGTCTCGTCTGCGGTGTCCGGGTCCAGAGAGGGCTTCGAGGGCTTTAGGGTTTCGTGCTTCGTCGCTTCACCGCGGTGTCCGAGTACCGCGGCGTCGCCGTCCTTTCTCTCCCTCTTCCCCGGCGGTTCTTCCAACCGTCGATTTCCGGCCGGCCGCCTCCTCACCGTCGTGCCCTCCTCGGCCGCGTCGACGGGCACGGCAGCGCGGGTCCCATCTTCCGATCCAGACCGAGGCTCCGACTCTTCGGAGGATTCATCACTACCTCCCTCCGCATCCTTCTCAACTTCCTCGTCCACTTTCCGTTGCGCTTCAGCTCTCGGGGGCACGGGGTCGGTGCGCGACTCTTCGCCGGAGGAAGCGTCCGTCTGCGGTGATTCGTGCGGAGGAGTTGGGCACTTCTTGCGTTTCGGGGCCATGAGGGTCGAGCAAGCGAGGGAGAAGACGAGGGGTTTTGGCTTTTGCTCTTTCGACGAAGCTGAGAAAGTGAAAACCTCTTAGTTCGTCCTCGTGCACCATTATTTATTAGTTAAGTATTACAATTCAAGTCTCTAATGACACGTAAAAAATGATAAAACTTTTGACATTATTTTCTTCTCTCTTTTTTTTTACTACTATTATACAAATTCTTCTCTAAAAAGAAAACGTTATATGTTCTAACAAAAGAAAAAAAAAAGAAAGCATTATATGAACATTTTGCTAGTTTTTAATAACCGAAAGTAAAAATTTACTTGAAATACAAAAAAATAAAACTAAAAAAAAGGGAGAGAAACGTTCTGAATTTCTCACGTAGAGTGCAAAGACGAGATTGATTGTCCTGGAAGGTAAATTAAGTAATTTGCTAGGTGCACTTTCTCGATAAAAATTAGGTTGTTACTCTCTTTGTTTTACCTTGTTGTCATTTTTATCGGGTCAATTTGACCCTTTTTTTCCTCTTTGATTTGCAATAAAAAAAATAACTTCATTAGAGTTTTGATGGAGATAACACAAAACTGATACGATTTGATGTTTTCCCTTAAATATAGAAATGTCAAACTTTTCGTGTTCAATATTAAGTCTATTCCAGTGCAACGAGAATTCTTGCTTAATTTTTTTCTCTCCATTTTTTTAATTAACTACAACATTTATCGCTGTTCACGAGCTATGCAAAAAAAATGTTCATAAGAATGCCAAATACGTATAAACTTTCTGCCCGTTTTTATGTCATTGTTCATGGAAGAAAAGAGTCTCTGACCTATTTTTATGAAGTATTTGGATTTTATATTGCTATTTGCTTGGACATTCTATTTAGTAATGGAAAGGATTCGATGGGGATATATCGGATAAATTGGAGGACTTAGATAATGGGAAAACGTTTTGACGAAGGGAAAAAGAATAAAAATGTACACATCATCTTTAATGGCATAATTTTTGCGTTCCACTTTTGATCCTTTCAATGTCCCTTCCCAACCAATAATTCTCATTGGCCACAACCCCCTATAAATTCATTTCAGTAGAAGTGTGCAAAACGGATCGCGCAAACCACAAGTAGGTCTCAATGAGTTCCATCTTCAGTGTTTATTTCATGTCACTATAATTTTTTTAGGATTTTTTATGTGCCTATTATCCTAAAACTTAGGGGTTTGCAATTAGAGAGATAGTGGGAAAAGTCATTTACGATTTCCTCATTTGAACACAAAATCCTTTTAACAAAGGCTACTTTTAGACGTCGGGAAAATTACCAAAAAAGTCCTAAACCTTTTGTAATTGTGCCAATTCAGTCCTAAACCTTTTGCAAACCAGCCAATTCAGTCCTTTTGGCCGGCCGGCGCTGATGTGGCCGCCGGCCGGCGTCCACATGTTAATATTTTAATATTTTTATTATTATTTTCGAATTTTTTTTCCTTTTTTCTTTTTTTTTCTTTTCCTTCTCCCCCCAGGCCAGGGGGGAGGCTCGCTGGCGAGGGCCCAGCTCCTGCGAGGCGAGCTGGGCCCTCCGCCGCCCGGTGGGCGAGGGCGGAGCTCGCCCAGCCATGGCGAGGCTGGGCGAGCTCCGCCTCACCAGATCTGGGCGAGCCTCCCCCCTGGCCGGACAGGCCAGGGGGGAGAAGGAAAAGAAAAAAAAAAGAAAAAAGGAAAAAAATTCGAAAAATAATAATAAAAAATATTAAAATATTGCCATGTGGACGCCGACCGGCGCCATGTCAGCCGCCCGGCGACCACGTCAGCGCCGACCGACCAAAAGGACTGAATTGGCTGGTTTGCAAAAGGTTTAGGACTGAATTGGCAAAAAAAAAAGGTTTAGGACTGAATTGGCACAATTGTAAAAGGTTTAGGACTTTTTCGGCAATTTTCCCTTTAGACGTCCTTTTCTCCCTTTAATTTTTTTTCTTTCAGACTTTTTTCCGTGACACAAAAATTTATAATATGTTTACTCCATCAAGATTTCAACAATAAGTACCGTTAAAAATCTACCTACATGATCGACGGAAGGCAAATGGTATTAATATGACGCTCATGTGACGTAAATGAAGTAAAAACAAAGTCTCGTTGTTTGGAAAATCATATGACGGAATCTTAACAGATGATAAATATGTCACACAAATACAATTTTAAGGTACAAGAAAAAAGTTTAAAACAAATGTGTTACAGTGATATAATTTGAGATTTAGAGTATATGTCTCATAGTGGGCATAGTTTAAAGTTTGTTGCTTTTTTTTTTAAGAAAAAGATTTAGGAAAAATGTATTATAATGAGTATAATTTGAGATTTTTTATAAAAATATAGGAAAAATAACACAAACAATCCATGAACTTTGACCTAATGTGCAATTTGGTCCATGAAATTTTAATTTGTTTAATGTAGTCCCCGAACTTTAGCCTAATATTCAATTTGATCCCTGAACTTTTAGTATTTGTTCAATTTAGTCTCTGAATTATTTGAAAATGTTCAATGCACTCCTTCCATTAATTCAAGTTTAGATATTACAAATAAAAATTTTATGAATTAAATTGCATATGAGATCAAAATTTAAAAACTGTCTGTGTTATTGTCTCAAAAGTATATTTAGAATGTAGATGTCTTGGTGAGTATATTGAAGTTTTTGTTAACTTTTTCCTGTTAAGAAAAAGTAGGAAAAGTTTTCTGCAAACGGCTCTGCATGTCCACGTTCCCATCACACAATCATTAACTAGGATCTGCTTTGATGATTTCCCCCCTCTAATTTTTTTTTAATTTCAAGAGTTTTCTATTTTACGGGAAGTTGGAGATCGAGGGAGCCTGACATTACCTTCTTTGTAACTTCTATCGTTGACCAACTCAATGCCATTCTTAATGCAAAAGTTATTTGATAGGTTTACGTTGGGGCTGAGCGTAGTCCAATTGCAAACTCTGCTAATTGTACGGCTCCTCAAAGGCGCAAAGTGCCTCGAAAGTCGATCTTCATAGGAGCAAAGGGAAAAGCGGGCGTCGGTTGACTTGACAAGTAGTCATGGCCACGGGCCGGTTTCGGCCCGGAACCGGCCCGGTCAAACCCGGGCCCGGCCCGTTGACCGGGCCCGCGGTTTGGAACTGGAATCGGCCCGTGCCCTACGGGCCCGGGCCCGGTTCCGGTTCCAGAAATTTTTGAACTGGCGCGGAACCGCCGGTTCCGCCCGGTTCCAAAAAAAAAAAAAAAAGAAGAAGAAAGCTGCAAGACACGCGGTGTAGGCATGTCAGCTGCTTGCGCGCCCGTTGCTAGGCGCCCGGCAACGGGCAAAATTAAAAAAAAACCCCTGCAGCGGGCTCGCACGCTCGCAGCCCCGCTCGCGCAAATTTTTTTTTTAAAAAAAAACCCCCGCAGCAGGGCCTGCACGTTTGCAAGCCCTGCTGCGGGCAGCGGGCTTGCGCCTTGCGGCTCGTTGCCGGGGTAGCCTTTAGGCTGCCCTAGCAACGGCCAAGGCCAACGCCCAAACGAGCAAAAGTTTATAAAAAAAAAAAGATAACCGTTGCAAAATTGCAACGGTTATCTTTTCTTTTTTTTTAATCCTAAATTTTCTTCTCATTTTTTTCTTATAAATTCTCTCAAATTCTCTCAATACTCACAATTCTCTCAAATTCTCTTCTCTCAAGTCTCAAATTTTCTCAATACTCGAAATTCTCTCAAATTCTCTTAAATTCTATCAATTTTCTCAATCCACGCAATTCTTTCTTAATTCTCCCAATTAATCCGCTCAATTCTCTCAATCTACTCAAAAAATGGCAAGTGGAAGTCGAGTGCCAACTGGCAAAGGTAAGAATATCATGACGGAATCCCATCATTCTTTTGATCCTCGTGAATATGTAGATTTTCAAGATGATGAAATCAACATTTTTCCCGATGTGGAGCGCGTCCCGACGCAAGAAAGTTTTCATCCTCCTGCCGAAATATTACAACAAAGGAAGCGGAACGAGAATTTACATCTGACGTTTGGAATCACTTCACGAAAATGGAAATGTTTGATATTGGTCAAAAAAAGTATGATATAATTTGTAAATATTGTGGGAAAATATATAAATATACAGGTGGACAAGGATATGGAACATTTAAACGACATCTTAGGAGCAAACATCCAACCGAAACGGGAATCGATATCGGGCAACAACAAATTTCCGGGTACGTCAATCCTAACACTTCCCCTTTATTTCGTTTTAATGAAAAAACTTATAAGGAAGAATTAGGCAAATTTATTTCCGTTGAGCATTTAATTTTGGAGAAAGATTTGGTTTTAATGAATTTGTACAAAAAGCATGTGCTCCACAAGTAAAACGTGTTCCTAGAAATTCAACTAAACGAGTAATTAAAGATCTTTACAAAAATGGAAAAAAAGATTTACAAAACTTTTTTATGCAATTTAATAGATGCATGCATATAGGTAGTGATATTTGGAGTGATCATTGGCAAAATCATTCTTACATGGGCATAACATGTCATTGGATAGATGACGAGTAGAGTATTCAAAAAAGAGTTATTATATTTAGAGTTTTCAATGATAAGCATACGGCAAATAATATTTATAGAATAATTAGGCAAGTTTTAGAAGAATATTATTTGCTTAACAAAATTTTTTCAATTGGTTTTGATAATGCCGCAGCAAATACCGCTTCAATTGCCGATTTAGAAAATATTTGTAAACCCGCTTTTGGCGGAAAATTTTTTCGCGTTAGATGTGCTTGTCATGTTTTAAATTTATGTGTACAAGATGGTTTGAAAACTCTTGATATTTTTCTTCAACCAATAAAAACGGCGATTCAATTTTTATGGAAACATCCCCAAAAAATGAAAGAATGGGGTAGATTTTGTAGAGAAAATGGCAAAAAGCCAAAAAGATTTCCAAGAGATGTTCCAACTCGTTGGAATTCTACTTTCTACTTGCTTAGTGAATCTTTAGCATATAAAGATTTATTATGTGCATTCATTTCTAATAATATACCTCAGATTAATTTATACCCACAAGAGTGGGATATTTGCCAAAAAATTTTAGATGTTTTAAAGGTTTTTAATGATGCAACTTATACTTTGTCCGGTGTTTATTATCCTACTACACATTTATTTTTAGTAGAGTGTACTAATATTGTCGGAATTTTTGATGAATATGAAAATGATGTTGAATTACAACATACTATAGTTGCAATGAAAATGAAGTGGCTACATTATTATAGCGAAATTCCCATTATTTATTTAGTTGCTTGTGTTTTTTATCCGCGTTGCAAATTGGATGGCTTAAATGATTTTTTTCGTACGTATTATCAATGTTTATATTATGATGCGATAAATGTTACAACCATAGTACGTGAGGTTAAAAACGTAGTAATAGAATTATATAATGAATTTTATACTAAATATAATTTAGGTGATATTGGATCTTCTTAATCTACGGAGATATAAAATGACAGTACAGGTAAAATTAGTAGAGGGTACCAACTTTTATTACATAGACAAAAAAAAACAAAATGGAGTAATAGGAAATATTTCTGAATTAGAGATTTATCTAACCGTTTCATTTGAGTTTACTGAATCCGAAGGTGGTACAGATTTTTTAATTTTGGATTGGTGGAAGAGGCACGCAAGCCAATACCCAATCCTTTCTCTTATTGCAAAACAGATTTTTTCAACCCCTTGTTCCACAGTTGCGGTCGAACAAGCATTCAGTGCCGGAGGTAATATTTTGGACGAACATCGTTCAAGATTAGCTCCAGAATCAGTGGAGATTCAAGCTTGTGTTGCTGATTGGACGAAGGCTCAATACCGGCAACAAGAGATAGATCGGAATAATGAATCCGAATTCTTTAACGACGGAGATACTACCGCTATCGGTACTGCTACCGGTACTGGAACGGGTAGTGACGATTGAGGGTAAAAGAACTATTGGAGTTGGCAAATATTTCGGGAACCCTTGTTTCTCATACCGGGTACGCCCACGTGAGCTTAGGGAAACCGAAGTATAATCCGACGACATGTGACCTCTGGTCCCTTGTGCACGGAATGCTTAGGTTTTGGGATCATTTTAGGGCATATATATTGTGCTCATTTTTTTTATAGATCGTTGTAACGAATTGTAATGTACTTAATGATAATTTATTAAGTTCAAGCCCTCTCTTTCTCTCTTGTCTTTTTGTCCTCAAATTTGATTACAATTTACATTTTAATTACAATTTATATTGAATAATGTTCCGTCACCGGAACAGTATTTTTTTTCTTTTCCTTTTCCTTTTCTTTTCTTCCTCCGCCGGCCATAGCCGGGGCCGGCGGAGGTCGCCGGCCTCAGGCGAGGCCGCCCTCGCCGGCGTCGGGCGAGGGCCGCCTCACTGGGCTGGGGCCGCCTCACTGGGCCGGGCGAGGTCGGCCTTGCCAGGATCGGGGCGAGGGCTCGACCTCGCTCGCAACCGGGCGAGGCCGGCCTCGCCGACGCCGGCGAGGCTCGACCTCGCCTCGCAACCGGCGAGGGTTCGACCTCGCCGGCCTCGGGAGGCCGGCCTTGCCGCTTGCCGGTGAGGTCGACCTCGCCGGCCGGTGGCGAGGCCGGCCTCGCCGCCAGGCGAGGTCGGCCTCGCCCGACGCCGACGAGGTCGAGCCTCGCCCGATCCGGCGAGGCCGGCCTCGCCCGCCTCAGCGAGGGCGGCCCTCGCCGACGCCGGGCGAGGGCGGCCTCGCCCGAGGCCGGCGACCTCCTTCTGGCCCCGGCTATGGCCGGCGGAGGAAGAAAAGAAAAAAAACAGAAAAGAAAAATTATGAACCGGCCCGGAACCGGTTCCGAACCAACCGGTTCCGAACTGGAACCGGAACCGGAACCGGAATCGGAACCGGAACCGGAACCGCCATGGGCGGTTCCAGTTCCGGTTCATACTTGGCCACGAACTGGAACCGCCGGTTCAGAACCGGAACCGGTCGGTTCCGAACCGTGGCCATGACTATTGACAAGTATTCTTTTATTCTCAATTTAAATATTCCTCGTTTTTAAGATTATAAGTTTAATATTTTATCCTTACCCCTTTCTCTTTGGTGTTTTACTACGGAGCAGCAAAAAGTTCTATGTCTGCAGGCAGAGATATAAACGGTGCACCAATATATTACGAAAGAAGCTCAAGATTAAATCAATCAAAAAGTCATTTAAATCGTATTAATGGATAGTTATTGCAGTTCTAATGAGCAATGACCATAAAAGTGGACTACTTTGATCTCTCCTTTTCTTATTATTTTTATTTAGCAATCGAAATTGGTTTTCCAAAGTTATTTCTTTATGGTGAAGCGGGCTCATTGTGATCGATAGATGTTTTTCAAATTATTTTATTTAGTATTAATGTTTTCTTTTTCTTTGGATCTTCAAGTGTGCCTCTCCTTTGATGTTTTTGTAATTGATACATGCTTTTTTAAACTTCCCATAAGAATCATATTCTAACTTTTATCCGGACAATATCCAACAATAGCTTCCGTTGAATGAATAATAGATCCAGATCCTAAAAACAACAATGCTTTCGTATAAGCATGAGTAATCAAATGAAATAAAGCGGCTCGATAAGATCCCATACGTGAAAGATCATTCATTCAGCCACCAACTATAAAATGCATATTCCATGATGTGAGAACTTAGAAGCAATTATTGTCCAGAGTAAAATTCAGATGCTCTTGGAAAAATAAAATATACAATCAACAATGGAGCGTGGTAGCATGCTCGAATCTACAACCCGGAAAAGTGAATTCACATTGTCTATTTTGTATTATTAAGGCCTTTAAAATAATAGTTTCTAAAAAATTATCAAAAAATTATTTAATGGATAAGCTTTTCTTTAAAAAAAAAAATAGATCCGTGAGAAGCTTGACTATGAATCTACTTCTTTAACTATCTAATTAACTTTATACCACAAAAAAAAAACTATCTAATCAACTAACATAAATTTCTTTTGATGTTAGTTATAGAGTAATTTTATTTATAAATCACTTATATATCAAGTGGTTCTCTCTCTCTAATCATTCTTTCTTTGTGTTTTTCTCTTTTTTGGTTTACATGTTGTAGGCACATAATATATAAGATTGAAATTCGGTTGATCTATGTTAACTGTTTTGTTTTGTGGTGAAAAGCTGATTTAAGCGAACTTATTAATTTTTTCTGTCAGGGATTGCCTTGGAGTTCTAGTTAAGGGCAATTTGAGCATATATATATATATATATATATATGCAGGATGGGATAGACTAACTATAAATTTTCTTTTGAGATTTCTTCATTTGAAAATAAAAATAATTTTAATAGTTTTTAAGGAGAGATGGAGGCGCTCTGTCAGAATTGATCATCATTCTTGGTGCCCATCGGGAAGGAAAGAGGTTTGACAAGATGGTTTTTCTTGCCAGGTGAGTTTACAGCATCTTTTCAATTAAAACATTTGTACTGAATTTTTTCTATTAATATAATGATTATGGTCCTTAAAAGTTAAAACATAGGTCATTTGATTTGTTTAGAATAAGATAATCTTGAGGTAAAAAGAAGCACCTGGTCATGATTTCTATCAAATAACAACACCCCTTGCTTTTTTTTCTCAATAAAAAAAATCAACTTTTACACAAATTCCAAATTTAACTCCCGTAGTGTTAAATTTTCAAATTATTTGTGATGTAAGTAAAAATTGATGATTTTTTATGAAATAAAAAAATATTTAAATTAAAATTATCACTCAAAATAAAATTGGTACTTTGTTTTAGAATTAAGCCAAACGTTTTGCCAAAAAGGCCATAAGGGTTGACATGCCACTCCTAAGGAGTGTCATCTTGTTACTTTGGTGCTATTTTATAATAGTTCCAACGCAATTTAGAAGTCAAAGCCTTTGCCTATGTAGCTTCCCCGTCGTCGCCTTCAAACTTCAACACATCATCAAATCGGCTCCTCTTATCACGACTCCATCACCAACTATAAGAAAATTGTAAATACAGCACCACGATGTTCGAAATGTAATCGTTTTGCTCTCTACATAGCACCTCAATCTTAGATAATGAACTCTTGCAAAACATCCGTGACGATTGGACAATTTTGTGTAGATTTTGACTTCCATAAATCAGTCCCGAGGATAGACAAATTCACCCTCTACATCCAATATAATTCAGCACATTTAGAAATTGAATTCCTATTTTTAGCATTCATACAAAAGCACCCATGAAGAGCAGCAAAAAGCCCAATGCACCTGAGAGACTCGGAACAATTTGACAAATGAAGAACTCTAACTCGATTTTTGGACGCCCATTCCTAACTTTTTCTGGCTTCGAACAACCAAGAAACCAACACATGAGCGGCTTTGCAAGGTAAAAAGATCGAGACAAAAAGAAAGCATAATCATAAAACAACCTGAGGATCGCAATCGCCTCCCTCCTATACCTGCCGCTGCTTCGCTCGACGATAGCGATCCATGAACAACCTTGCCTGGTGATTCACGAGCGCCGCCCTATCGTTGGCGACCTGTAGCTCGGACATGCGCAGTTGCTGCCACCTCTCCTTCAATTCCTCCATCTCCGACCGGTCGATCATCCCCATACCGATCCTCAAAACTTCCTTGCCCAGCCCCATGCTGGTCAGCTCCAACAGAGAAGATTCGCCGGCCCAATCGCCGTCCTCAAACACCTCCGGCGGCTTCGACGGAGCAGCAGCAGCAGTAGCAATCTTGCCGGCACTTTCCGGAGTCGTACTCTTCTTCAAAGACAAGTGCACTTCCCCACCGCCCCAGAGGACACGGGAAAGCTCAGCAACCATCTGATCATGGGGCTTCTTCCAAACACGCCCGGTCTTGCATCCATTCACGAACTTGACTTTCATTTTCCTTATCTTGTTGAGGAGCTGCGATTCGTCGGGAGAGAAGTCGAACCGTACCGATCTCTTGTCGAGGAAATCTTGGAATATGCCGACGTTTGTCGAGGGCTCTAACTTCTTCTTTTTGCGAAACTTGATCATACCTCGGAGGAGCTTGATCTCATCTTTCTCACTCCATATGCGCTGAAACCTCCCCGACACCTCTCCGGTGTGCTGCGCCGCTGCCCCAGCCCCCTCCTCGTTAGCGTCGCTGCCCTTCCTCGCCCTCTTCGCCGGCCGCTTCTCCAACTGTTGAGATCCGGCCGCCGGCTTATTCTCCGCCGCCGGCGCGACCTCCTCGCCGGCGGCGACGGCCTTGACGGTGCGGGTCTCGTCTTCGGGGTCCGGGTCCAGAGAGAGCTTCTTCGGTCGCGAGGGCTTTAGGGTTTCGTGCTTCGCCGCTTCACCGCGGGACTCGGCCGCCCCGGACGGTTCATCTTCTTCCTCCTCCTCTTCGGCGTCGCCGTCCTTCCTCGCCCTCTTCCCCGGCTGCTCTTCCAACCGTCGATTTCCGGCCGACCGCCTCCTCACCGCCGTGCCCTCCTCGGCCGCGTCGACGCGCATGGCAGCGCGGGTCCCATCTTCCGATCCAGACCGAGGCTCCGACTCTTCGGAGGATTCATCGCTGCCTCCCTCGGCATCCTCCTCAACTTCCTCGTCCACTTTCCGTTGCGCTTCGGCTCTCGGGGGCACGGGTTCGGTGCGCGACTCTTCGCCGGAGGAAGCGTCCGTCTGCGGTGATTCGTGCGGAGGAGTTGGGCACTTCTTGCGTTTCGGGGCCATGAGAGTCGAGCAAGCAAGGGAGAAGACGAGGGGGTTTGGCTTTTGCTCTTTCGACGAAGTGGAGAAAGTGAAAACCTCTTAGTTCGTCCTCATGCACCATTATTTATTAGTTAAGTATTACAATCAAGTCTCTAATGACAGGTAAAAAATGATAAAACTTTTGACATTATTTTCTTCTCTCTTTTTTTTTACTACTATTATACAAATTCTTCTCTAAAAAGAAAACATTATATGTTCTGGCAAAAGAAAAAAAAAAGAAAGCATTATATGAACAATTTGCTAGTTTTTAATAACCGAAAGTAAAAATTTACTTGAAATACAAAAAAATAAAACTAAAAAAAAAGGGAGAGAAACGTTCTGAATTTCTCACGTAGAGTGCAAAGACGAGATGGATTGTCCTGGAAGGAAAATTGAGTAAGTTTGCTATGTGCACTTTCTCAATAAAAACTAGGCTGTCACTCTCTTTGTTTTACCTTGTTGTCATATTTATCGGGTCAATTTGACCCTTTTTTTCCTCTTTGATTTGCAACAAAAAAATAACTTCATTAGAGTTTTGATGGAGATAACACAAAACTGATACGATTGGGTGTTTTCCCTTAAATATAGAAATGTCGAACTTTTCGTGTTCAATATTAACTCTATTCCCATGCAATGAGAATTCTTGCTTAATTTTTCTCTCTCCATTTTTATAATTAACTACAACATTTATCACTGTTCACGAGCTATGCAAAAAAAATGTTCGTAAGAATGCCAAAAACGTATCAACTTTCTGCCCGTTTTTATGTCATTGTTCACAAAAGAAAAGAGTCTTTGACCTATTTTTATGAAGTATTTGAATTTTATATTGCTATTTGCTTTGACATTCTATTTAGTTATGGAAAGGATTCGATGGGACGTATCGAATAAATTGGAGGACTTAGATAATGGGAAAACGTTTTGACGAAGGGCAAAAACAATAAAAATGTACACATCATCTTTAATGGCACAATTTTTGCGTTCCACTTTTGATCCTTTCAATGTCCCTTCCCAACCAATAATTCTCATTGGCCACACCCCCCTATAAATTCATTTCAGTAGAAGTGTGCAAAACGGACAGCTCAAATTAAGAATCGCCCGGATCGGACCAAATTGCTTAGTTGATCCAGTTGAGTGTCGATCCAGTTCCCATTTCCTAAAAGTGGGAACCGGTATCTGGTTGGTTCGGTCCAAGAACCAGACCAGGCCGATTACTTATACCTTTTTTTATTTATTTATTTCTCCAAAAATTTTTGTAAAATGTGAACTAAATCTTAAGTGAACATCACTGACATAAATTCATTGACAAAAATTAGTAAAATGTGAATTAAACCTTAAGTGACTGGTTTAATGGGATTGGGAACCAGACCTGACTACCGGTCTGGTCCTTGGGTCCTAAATTGGGAACTAAACCGGATTGAGAACTTATCACCCCTACATTCCGGTGCACGAGCAGAGTGATTCCTAAACTAGATTAGGGTCACTCCCCATAACCTATTAAATAACTTTTCCATTAAAATAATAGGCACACAATAAACCACAATCCTGAAAAAGAAAAGTGTTTTGCGAACTACTTATTAAAACCTGAATATTCATTTCTTTCTACAAATAAATTTGCATGAAATAAACATTTTAGATGAAAATCACTTAACACATACTTTCGATTACATGAACATACAAAAACTCAAGATTGTAATGAAATTTTCATCCAATTAGTGAAGTGGCTTGTTCTGCAATATGTAGATTTCTCAAAAAATGAAGAAGTAATTGTTATGGTTAGAAGTTAGTGTAGGTCAGATTTAAGAAAGAAAAGAAGTGTAACTTAATAGATGCTACTAGTTACAATGAGATAACCATTTTGCTCGTACAGTTTTTTTTTTAAATCCTTAATGAAACAAAACGAGTTGAGGATTTATTTCAATAATTTTTAATATTAGGATCTTTTTTAACTAATCGATTTGCTTACCCTGCGCAATACGCTCAAACAAAATTAATTAAAAGACGTTTTTCGGGTGCTAACTGAAAATTTCACAGAGTAAGTTCAATAAAATGTTTTACTTTTTGCAATTACATGAAACAAAACCCATCATCTAGTTATGCTAAATTCAAAGAAAAACATAGAAGGCATTAAAGAAATTAAGTAAATTGCTAACCAATCGCATTTCTGGAGAATTCACTTTGTTAGTGAAAGAAAAGAAAACACATACTCAAATGGGAAAAAGATTGCTACGATGAGTTAAACTTTTGCGAAGCATTTTCTGTATTTACCTGGTTAAATTTGACGTCGTTTCAAAAGGAAGGGTCAACATAAGCCTATTAAAATTTGAGACCTTGCGTGACGTAATTAGTGCAAGGACAAGAGAGAATTAAACTCCTGTCTTTTCTATATTGGATCGAGAGTTGAGTTGATGTCATGGGGGTTCAAATTAGTTTTCTTTCCTAAAAATTGTATGTCGCTTCTCATTTTCATTTCAAATTGAATAATGTTGAAACTTATTTATAGGATTAATATTATGAAAAATTCAAAAATGGTATATCTGTGATAAATTTATCTAAAATTAATTTTTTGACCATTAAAAATCCCAAACTAGTATACTTGTGATAAATTTACTTCAAACTAATTTTTTGATCATCAAAAACTCCAAATTGGTATATTTATAACAAATTTACCCTCCGTTAGTTCCCATTAAATTGAATTAATATTACGAAAAATTACAAACTGATACACCTATGACAAACAAATGATAAAATCCCAAACTAGTGTACTCGTCAACTGTTACGTGTCATTTAATTAAGCAATTTGATGAACGGAGAGTAAATTTGTCAAAAATATATCAGTTTGAGATTTTTAGTGATTAAAATATTAGTTTAGGGTAAATTTGTCACGGGCGTATTAGTTTAAGATTTTTCGTAATATTAACTCTTTTAACATTTAAAAAGGTAAAAGAATGCGTTGACATGAAAAACCTATCTATTTGATGAACTTTATTTCGGTCGAGGATGAGATTATCGTGTATGGTATTTACGAATGTATATAGAATAGATAATAATTGATCTTCGTCTCGTAATTCGTGGCGTCCAAGCTACAAAAACCTAAAGCCTTTTAATGAAAAGTGGGGGATTTACAGATGTTAAAATGATGACAATGAATTATTCAGCTTTTTGGTGGACAGCAAGAACATTATAGATTTAGCTTTTCGATGGCACGTTGCTACAGAAAGGATGATCATTGTGGAAGTCGAAGCTTCACCTCGAGAAGTGAAAATCCAGTTGCTTGCTGCACTAACTAACTTTAATTAGCCGTCGTTATAGAATGCTCCGCCATGCAAGAATCGAGAAGTGGGTGAGCATTAGACATGGATTTTATTAATAATAGCGCGACCAATTCAATGATCATGATCATTTACAAGACTCACGGGGGGTTGCTTTGAGGATGACGTTATCATCAAATTTCTTTTGAATATGTATCATTCGAACATTATTTCGAAAAAAAAAATTCATTTCGACAAAAAGAAGGAAAGGGTTTTCAAAAATCTTGTTGTGTGGGGGAAATTGGCCCTATTTTCTAAGACATTTACAACACAATTTCAAAGGGAAAATTGTCCAAAAAGTGTTAAACTCATAATACGACGGCCAATTTCGTCATAAATTTTTTAATTTTGTCAATTTAGTTTTAAATTTTTTGCTGATTTGCCAATATAATCATTCTAGTTAAATTGGGCGGGAAACGCTAACGTAAATGTCAACTATCTTACGTGGCACAACCACCGCGTTGGCGATTTCTGGCCAAAATTGACCGAAAGGTCTACATTGACAAATTGTCAAAAGTTTATGACTAAATTGATAAAATTAAAAAGTTTTAGGACTGAATTTGCTGCGGTGCAACAAGTTTGTGACTTTTTGGACACTTTATTTGATGACAAACATATACCCAATGAAGGATCTTCATTGGTTCTTCTATCTTAAGGTTGCATAAACGATATGCATAATAAGAATATACGCGGAGAGAGTGAGGTATCGTGCATGTGAGAATACAAAGGAGACGTTACGACGAACGACCAAATCACATTTTTTTAAGATAATTGCACTAACAGAGAAAGGATGTGGCTGTTTTCATGCCCTATATAACAAAATCCACCCCATTTTCATTAAAGAAGCAACACTGTCCTTAATCATATAATTTGAATTTAATATGGTCGGAGACAGATCTGTTCAATTTCCTTCTTTTTTTAGTTTTTCGTGTCAGTGCAGGATCTAGCTACCATACTTAAATATATTTTTTCTTTAATTTCTAAGTGGGCATCACCATCCCAACTGAAAGTTTTATGTATTCATTTTTGTTTTTAGATTTTACCTCTCTACAAATTAGCTTCCTCGAAAAGAGAAATTCTGAGGAAACCTAACTCTTTTCTATGCTGTTGAACAAATTTATGGATTTACTGTCGAGTAGAATCTCGGTAAAACATGAAACATCAACAACTTTTGAACATATTATCACAACAAAGTTCTTTCTTAGTAGTCATTGTCTTTGGGATCGCTGGACGAAACAAAACAAGACCATGTCTAAAGATTTCCCAAAATAAAATTATAATAACATTCCAATGCGAAATTTTGGAAGAAGAAACATTAAATAAAAAATTTGAATAAAACAATGGCATATTTTAAAATGACATTAAATTTCATTCACTTTGAATTGACAAGAATTGATATCATCCATTAATTTTACGAAAATAATATGAGGTGGCATAACGTGCATCACTTTTTTCACGTCATTGTATGTAATGTATTTTTAGATATTTCTATATCTTCTTAAATGCTTTGTATTAGGAAAGAATAACCGATTGTTGGAAATAGTAAACAGAGAGACTCGATAATTTTTTTTACTACCAATCAAACAACAACTTAAATATAAAATGAGCCTTAGAGTTAGGAGAGACAGAGAATTGATAACTTGCGATAAGAGTAATGATGAAACAGGCTAACTTTTTATTTTTTGAACAACAATAAGCTTAGCAAACTCAAATTTGAAGGACATTGATACTACAT